ACGCTATATATAAATGTCTCTCTCCCTCTCTCACGGTGTGTCTGTCTGTTTGTGTGTGTCTGTGTGTGTATATGTGTGTGTGTTTTTGTATGTGCGCGTGTTCGCGTATGTTCGGGCGAGTATATATATCTTTATCTCTCTCTCTCTCTCTCTCTGTCTCTCTCTCTCTCTCTCTCTCTCTCTCTCTCTCTCTCTCTCACTCTCACACACACTCTCTCACACACACACACACACACACACTCACACACTCTCTCTCTATCTCTCTCTATTTCTATATATATATATATATATATATATATATATATATATATATATATATATATATATATATATATATATATATATATATATATATATATATATATATATATATATATATATATATATATATATATATATATATATATATATATATATATATATATATATATATATATTATCTTGAAAATTGACAACTAGTAGGTGGTCCAGTTGGGATAGATACAAAATTATGGTTGGATTTTGTGAGGTGGAATAGAAATATATAAGTTTGTGTGTATTAAAGAATGAATGAATAAAAGGCATATATATTGATTGAGAATGAATGGATGATATATGCATAGGAAGAGGTAGTACTTACTGCCCACTTGACGGCCAGCTTTTTGGGGGCCAATGTCTATCTTCCAAACACTCTATTTCCAATTTCCAATTTGGAATGTCATTTCTTTTTATTGCTAGTTTAATTTAAAACATAAAACATCATATATATATATACTTAAAATGGTATCCAGATTTTATATCTTAAATAATATTAGTACTCAAGAATTGTGGGTTTATTCAAAAAATTAGAGGTTTAATATAATTTATCCCATGGGCCATCCATGCCAATAATTATTAATTAATAGTATAATAATAATGTCAAAATTTTAAGTGCAATAAATATTACTATTGAGTATTGAGAAGAAAAAGAAGAAGCAGTCAAGAAGTTGGGCGGGTTCACCCACCTCTAGCTAGCTACGAGTACGACTCTCCCTCATAACTCATAAATTAATACTCCGTTTACTTTATAATTAACTACTCTTACATAAATTTCAATACATCTAAACCTATCTATATAATTCTCAACCTATTTTTTTCAACTTATTTAATTAAAACCAACCACACTTTCTAATTCTGCATTTCACGCTTCTGCTTCTGAAATAATATATATACATCACCTATTTCTCTCATACTTGTTTAATTTCCCTTATGGGAGGGAATGAAGCAAGGATTATGTTAATTAATAATATCCAATTATTCTAATTAGTATTTCAATATTGTGATTAAATATTTAATTACCACCTTTGGAGATGTCGAAACTCCATGTCTCTATTTGTATGGATCGGACGACTTCGATGATACATTTACTTAACTTAATTATTTGGGAGACGAAGTCGAAGTCGAAAACACCCCGAAATTTCCATTGACTTTATCCTACGACAACTTGTCTATCTCTTCTCTCATTTTTAATTATTATTATTATTATTTTATTTTCCAAACATAAGATTAAGTAATAGGACAACAAGTTGATCGGCCATATTATTTATTAATTATTATTGAGAGCACATCTTCTCACATCTCTCCTCGATCGACAAGCTCTGTCTTATGATATATCAAACTTAAACAAATTAACTATTTTGTATTTTAAACTATATATTTCTGGAAATAGTATATATATATTATACACTCTCTGCACATGTACGCATGTTACAATATTTTTTCACTTGATTTTATTTAATTTGTTATCCTGTACGTAGCTAGTAGGTCTTTATATTTTCTAGGATATTCCATAATTATCTGTTGTTAGAGTTGTGGCTTGGTCGGCATTATTTTTGTTTTTACCTTTGCATTTCATGTACTAATAATTTAGTTTCTTAGTAAACAGTAAATGAAGAAAAGTTGGAGTGGATCGCTATCGGAAGGAATTTTGAATAAATAAATTGTTTAGCAGGCCAACTTTGAATATATAAATTAAGACATATACAAGGTGCAAGCACGTCAGTTTCATGATTCATTTTTTTAATTAGTTTATTTAAATTTCCCGATAATGATGAGAAAATGGGAGATTCCTTAAATGGCTTCTCTCACTCCAAATTAAATAGATCATCTATAATATAATATATCCCACCACGTCCCATGCATCCAAATTAAGGAAATAGATTTTTAGTTTTTGTATATTACAGTGTTGGAATTTATAATCATCATTAATTATGTCCAAATAACTAACCCGATGGCCCAGGATAGCCCGAACCTAACCAATTAGGCCTACTTAGCCCAGCCTGGATCTTAGACGACGGGGACTGGATCAGCATTTTTCACAACATTCAAGGGCCCAAGGCCCAACTAAAATATATTATAAACCACAATTTAAAAAGATTGAAATAATTAATATGTAACACAATTCTTCTTCTAACCAATTTTGGTAATATTATATGGGTCTTTCTAGGGTGACACCACACGTGTTCTAAATTTATATGAGATATGTATTAATCACCATTAATTTTCTAAGGTTAAATCTGGACCCTAGGAAAATAACATGACCTATATATTCTAAAATATGAAGTACTTTACCAAATTATCTCTCTCATTAGGGATAGAACTTGGGACATCTTAATACATTCATCATCCTGACCATCCAACCACATTAACTTATTATGATATATTTGACCATAATTGCATAAATACTGTTAATTAAAATATTAATTACAATATTCATTATTATTAAATGACATTAAATAAATTATTAACAAATTTAATATAATAAAGTTTGAAAAATGTAAAGAATTGCCAAACATCTATCATTAATTATATAATATTAGAACTATTAATAAACTCCACCATTTAAAAATGTAAAGAATGCTCAATTAAATATAAAAAAATGCATAACTTAATTCAAACTCACTTATGTTATTAAATCGATAGTGTGACAAATCCAAATAAAAAATAAAATAATATGTTTATTTAGAAGAAGAAAAATTTATAACTCATTCCAATTAGTAGTTTTCTCACTTTAAAATAAAATTATATACTACAAATAATATATTGTGAATTTTCTTTTAATATTTAATTTAATCAAATAGTAAGATTTGAATCGATTAAGTTCAAATCCTTTCAATTAGTAAACATCATTCAAATATTTGAATCGGTTGCTTAACTATTGACATAACGTGTTACATAATTGATTTAACTATTTATAAGTAATGTCTAATATCTTTTTAATTCAATTTTGTCATAAAAAATAACAAATTTAATTCCTAACACATGTAAGAACCTAATCGTAAATCTTAATATTTTATCAAAGCGTAATATTTGAACCAATTAAGCTCAAGTCCTTTCGATTTGTAAACATTATTCAAATATTTGAAACGATTAATTAGCGTGCTCAACTATTGACAAGAACGTCTTAATCAAATTAACTATTATTAATTAAAGTGTAATACATTTTTAATTCAATTTTATCATAAAAAATTAATTCCTAAATTACGTAAGAATCAAATCATAAGATTAATTAAAGCATATGATTTGAATCAATTAAGCGCAAATCCTTTTAATTTGTAAATATTATTCAAAAATTTGAATCAATTAAGTTCAACTAATGACAAGAACGTATTAATCGAGTTAACTATTTATAATTAAAGTCTACTATCCTTTTAATTCAATTTTAACAAAAAAACAATAATTTAATTCGTAAAATCGTAAGTATCAAATCGTAAATCGTAAGATTTAATCTAACCATGAACCGATTAAATCATACGATTTTTACGAATTAAATTTTATTATTTTTTATGATAAAATTCAATAAAAAAAAGATACTAAACTTTAACTATACATAGTTTGATTAATACACAATTGTAAATTATTGAGTTTAAGTGATTCAAATATTTGAATATTGTCTACGAATTGAAATGAGTTGAGCTTAATCGATCAAATCTTTGAATATTGTTTTTGAATTGAAACACATGAGTTTAATTGATTAAAATATTACGATTTAATTAAATCTTACAATTTACGATTCAATTCAAACTTCAAATTATTTTGAAATTCATTTTTAAATTACACGAGTTGATCAGCATTTCCTTAGATTTTTAAAATATATTATATAAAGATTTGTTATTATGGGATATTATCAATATATAATAATAATTATATGAGAATTAATAATTTATTTAACATTATTTATATAAGTTTTATACTATGGTGCACGGACACGGATACGTGGACACGGCGATACGCGGATACTTTTATAACCATTATAAATTGTAGCTTTGTGATATATATCCGTCTTGTTAGTTTATTGTCAATTATTTGTTGTGTCTTAATGGTAAGTATTCTTGTATATTTTCAAATGGTTATAAGTTCGAATTCAGGTTGATGCAAATTTTGGATGGGTGGTTTAATGATTTTTATGAATAATGATATAAATGACTTTATAAATTTTACTTCACCAATAAATATAAATTTAAATTTGCATTATATAGAGAGGGTAAAATTGACATTTCATTAATAATTTATAATTGCCGATTTTTTTAAAATATAAGGGAAAAATACACTTTACCCCCTTGTACTATACCTTATGTAACACTTACCCCCTTGAACTATGGAAAATACACTTACCCCCCTATTTTAATGGTCAACCTATTTGACTCTTAACGGTGTTAGTAGTAAAATAAAGTTAATATATTTTTAATAATTCTTACTAAATAACAAATTTTATTTAAAAACATAATATATGTGCAATGAATAAATATTTAAGATAATAATATTTTTTAAATTTAAATAAGAAAAATATTATTACTTTTTCAATTCAATATATTTTTTAATAATTCATAAGAAAGGACACCTAATTTTTATTAAAAAAATATTTTTTCATTGTGGATAATTATATTAAATAAGTATTTAACATGTATAAAATTTTACATATAGAATTAGAATCATTAGATATTTATATTAAAAATTCTAATTCTACGGTAGTGTTTTTTTAACGATATATGCTAATAATTTATTTTATTTATTTGTAATATCAAATTTCATTTAAGCCTTTTACATTTAGGATTAACTATACGAAATTTAATGTTACAAATAAATGTTAAAATTCAATGTACACAATGTTTAACGAGTTAAATAATTTAACTCAGACTATGAAAAAATATACTTGCTACTAGGTTGTATAAAATAATACAT